GGGTTTGAACCACCAGCCTTCTGGTTAGCAGTCAAGTGCTTTAGCCACTATGCTACCAGAGCTCCCAAATTATTGAATTAGTGAAGCTTATTTCCTGTTTTTAAACCTGGACTTTTCAAAGTATAAGGAGACATTTCCATAGTGGGCCTGTCTCCTTTGGGTATCCTGTGTTCTTAGGTTCTTTGGTCAGTACTCTAGTTCAACCTGCCTTTCACCATTTATGGCTGTTACATATACTTATTTTTTAGACAGAAATACTTATTTATTCACAAATACTTATTTTTTTCAAGTTAAATTCAACCATGTCTCAATTTCAAGAAAACACAAATTTATATTAACTTAACAATTTTATTGCCTTTATATGTGTAAAAGCTCATTTTTAAAAACAAGAAAGCTATCCGACTGAAGCATTTCATTTAGCGCTGTGACAATGGAGTTGAGCTGGCAGAAGAGACACTGAATACCTCATTATGTTTGTTGAATTTTTCCCATCCAGGAAATACAGCCTGAGTTCTAGGCCTCCGGTTCCAGACTATATTGTTTACGACAATGGAGAAACAAAGGAATTTGGGTAAGCTCTCTTGCCAAAGCAATGAACATAAGCCTAATCACAATGGTCCTTGTGGGCATTTTATATGGCTAGAGGAGGGCAAAAGAGCCCTGGGGGTGGGATGGCTAAAAGATTAGCTTCTAACTGAAAGGGCAGCAGTTTGAAGCCACCAGTGTCTATGCAGGAGAAAAGACCTGCTGACCCATTTCTATACTTTACAGCCTAGGAAATCTTATGGGGCAGTTCTACTACATCTCTGTGAGTTGGAAGTGACTTGATGGCACACTCAGTAATTGTTCTGAACCAAGTTCATGTATGTAGATGGCTGTTGACAGGCCTGTTCCTTTATCATTATTGTAGGGATGAAAGTAAGCTTCAAGATCAAACCTTTATCACCCAGCAAGTCCCAATCTCAGACTCTGCTGAACTGGTGCCACCCGGTATTCAGAAAGGACCACAAAAGCCTGACATGGTAAGGACTTATTATTAACAAACACATACAACTGTTACCCTTCCCTGTGTAGCCTGTGGCAAACTCGGTTCTTTTCTGTACTGGCCAGGAACTCTCTGGGATCAGTGAAGTGAGCAATAGCATTATTATGAGATCATGGAAAATTTTATAACTATCCACAATAAAGAAAGGCATATTACAGAGTATACTTAATGCAAGTACTTATTTGTGTCTCTTTTAGTGTGGAAAACATTTAGACTGCCGTTTGAAATAAGCAGCCTAGTCAAATTTCTAAGAATATGTAAGAAAAAACTTTCCTACTTTCAGTCATATTCATCACTCTTTATTTTTATGACCTGGTAACTCTTAGCTTTGCATAGGGATAGAAGTCTGAGTCAGTAGGGAACAAGGGCATTATAAGGAAGCTTGGCACCATTAAAAAACAAACAAACCAGGTTTTTTCTTTAAGAGGTTTTTGTTTGTAATTTTTTCTTCATAATTACCACAATAATAGAATCCTAGAAATGAGGCCACATCAGAGCAAAAAGAAAAGAAAGTTTGAATTTATTAGCTGCTATTACCAATGGCAATAAATGTACAGATTTTTTTTTCTGTCTAAGAAACAAGAAACTTTTCCAAACAGCAAGTGGCTGGGCAGGTAATTAAACAAGTTGATTCCAATCAGAGCAACATAATTCTAATTAGTATTTTTTAAAAAGTGATTTCCCTTAGATGTAAGGAAAACTTAGATACCTCTGTGACTATATTTAATTCCATTTGGAATTTAGAACAATATGACCTTTTATTCAACCAGTCCATGGCTATTGAACTGGATTAAATATCACTACCAGTTGCCAGCTATGATAACGATGAATAAAACAAACCAAAACCAAACCCAGTGTAGTCAAATTGATTGACTCATAATGACCCTATAGGACAAGAGTAGAACTGCCCCATAGGGTTTCCAAGATTGAATATTGCCACATCTTTCTCCCATAGAACAAATGGTAGGTTCAAACCACTAGCCTTTTGGTTAGCAGCTGGGCACTTTAACCACTGTACCACCGGGGTTCACTGAGACAAAACAAAGGGCAGTCCATTCTCAACATATAAATTTTTGTTGCCTCACTTAAAGGAAGATAAATTTTTTAAAAAAAGGACCCAATAGGGTCGTAAGTGCATTTTATTAAAATTTCAGTCACCTTAAATGATTAAAGATTCTGATCTTCTATCCAGCAAGTAGCACAATAAGCCTAAAGTCCACAGAGTGCACAAATAGTCTGAAAGCTTTTCACCATCCTTGATTCACTGAATAACTGCCATGGAGTAGGTTAGCACTGTCCAAGTGACTAATGAGGAAGCAGAAAAATGAACGACCTATGCCATCTGGCTGAACGCCAGAGAGTGCTCCATCAGAGCCAGCCGCCTTCTAGTCCACTGGGTGAAAACCTGTCAGAAAGTCAGGATGCAGTGGGGTTGGTACAGCAAAAAGACAGAATCCATTCTCTCCAGCATAGTACATCAAAATTTCTGTTATGAAATATCTCAAGCTTACAAATATGGAGATACAAAATACATAAAGACACTTGAATTATTAATGGTAGCAGAAGAATCTGTAAAGGTATTTCTTTATTACATTTTCTAATGAAAAGCTTTGAAATTTCTTAGGCCCCAATCAATTGCTCTAAGTGTTCTTTCATTAAAAAGCATAAGAAATCCAGGCAAGAGGAAAGAAGAACATAAAAAATTCTAGTAAGGCAAGTAATACCAGGTTAGTCTTGCTTAAGACAAGAGTCTTATCCATTTTCATGGTTAGAACATCTCTTTGATTTCTGTGCCTAAATAACTGTTGAAATAACTTTTCTAAAAAAAAAAAAAACAAAAAAAAACTTTTTTGCATCTTTAGGGTCTTAATTAATGTTTGAAGCATTAATTAAGGATTGCTGAAGTAAACCCCTGAAATTTAACACTTGGCACACATAACAAAAAAGTTGATTTATCCAATGCATACTGAGGTATCCTTGAGAAGCAGTGATTTTAAGAAGCAAGAATACTAACAATGATAGAATTAAATAGTGGTTATGAATCACTAGGAAGACTAAGTGGCATTCAGCAGAAAAGAAAATTGTCACATCTTTGCGATAAGTAGAAGTGGATCATATTTCATGTAGCGTGGGATAAATAAGGAAAACTTGGCAGAGGGGTCTCCCCCACCAGCATTTTATGTAGGGCTGTGTTTGAGAACCAATCAAAGGGTGAATTGTTTTTATCCTATTTCTCCACCCAAGTGTTCCTCTTCTGATTATGGGAAGATCTTCACATACACTAACTTTTCCATCCTTCAAGTCTTCAAGAAAAAGGAAGAATTTTTAGAAAACAGATCATAAGCTCTCATTCCAAATAAGCATTTCACAGTTAGAGTTATCTCAAAACTAGAAGTAGGAAGAGCAAGTGAAAACATGGTTTTAAAGTTACACTAGGAGTCTCCCCATAGCAACTCTGCAAGGACTAGTGGTCCTGAGAAAGATTTTAGTCACAAGGTATTCCAATCCCAGGGAACTGTTATTTATCTGAACAAAGTTGGCAAATGAAGTTGGTCAAGAATAAAGGGAGACTGCTCTGGATGGACCGAGTCTGGAACAGACTTGCTTCTAATGGCCCATGGTAGGCATGACCACCGCAGGTGAAGAAAGAGTGGCATCTTCTTCTTTCCATTGAGAAGTGATGGTCTTTAGCTGAGTATAAAAGTAGATACCCTAAAGAGAACAAAGGAAAAACAGAGAGAGTTAGTATACATTCCCCAAGGGTTTCATGACTCTTCTTTTCATCTTCTTTTGAAAAGTGCTACTCACTTTCCTACTTGAGGAGTAGGTGCAACCAAAATTCAGTATATTGTTCATGAGATAATCCATGTAAAATTCTTAGCATAAGACTTGGCACACAGAAAGCAGTCAAACCTTAACTATTATTATTAACTATTCATTACTATGTTGAAACTTGAACTTCTAAGCCAAGAGCATCTAAAAGGAAAACTAAAAAATGTAATCTGGTAAACTTGCAGGCCATTCTATTCCTAGAGCTCAAAGTCATGTGCTCTGAAGGTAGTAGATTTGTCTCTACTCTTTACTGAGTACAGTTTAACCTTGGGCTTCATCTGTGACATAACATCTACCTCACAGCAATGTTGTAAGGAGTAAATGAAATTACGTGTAAAAATATCCCATTAAAGTAACTGCTCTCTAACAAATGACAATTTTCCTTTTCTTCCCATGAAGAAGAAAAAGTAATAAAGGAGTGCAATACATAGTAGGCCATTTAATATATATTAAATCATCAGTGGTAACCACCTCTATGCTGAATTGGAAAATTCAAAATATCCTACAAATAAGTCTAAAGTAAAATGTCTGATGTTATACACAAGAACCAAAAAACCCCAAACCCAGTGCCAATGAGTTGACTCTGACTTATAGCAACCATACAGGACAGAGTAGAACTGTTGTAGAGTTTCCAAGGCTGTACATCTTTATGGAAGCAGACTGCCTCATCTTTCTCCCATTGAGCAGCTGGTGGGCTCAAACCACCGGCATTTTGGTTAGCAACCCAGTGCTTTAACTGCAGCACCACCAGAGCTCCTTTATGTTATACATTAAAAACAAAAAATAAAAACCCACTGCCATCAAGTTGATTCTGACTCATAGTGAGATGCCCATTGGGTTTCCAAGGCTGTAAATCTTTACAGAAGCAGATTGCCTCATCTTCCTCCTGTGGAGCAGCCGGTGGATTTTTTGGAGGAGTCCATGCTTTAAACTGGGATGTGTCAGATGAATGGGAGTTAGATCAAAGTGGGGAGGCAGGGAAGAGGGTCACAGACAGAGGAAATGGCATACACAAAAGCTTAGAATTCCCTATGCTCTTTATCCAAAACTATGTTGCCTTGAGTTATTCAGAAAGAAACAGCTTTGGCATAATCTTGTTAACTTTGAAATCTTTTCTAGGAAACCTACTGACAATCCTGCTGAACTACATAAGACCTTATAGAAGCTGCTGACACAGGCTTTTCTTTGAAGAATCCTTACTCCTGATATGTTTAAGAAAGTTTCTTAGAGGAAAAAAAAAAAATTTTTAACTTAAAGTTACCTGTTTGCCATAGAAATTAGTGTCTCCCCTGAAGGAAGATCGAGAGCCGGTAAATGAGAACATTGGCAAAGGCACTGGAATGGGGACATTTACACCCACCTAAAGCAGAACAAATCCACATCAAATACTAAGAAAAGAACTCAAACAAAGGAACTCTCCATTTAGAAGCAAAAGGCATCAGATCACTTTTTAAATGCCCACCTTCCGCCCATCCTCCAACTTTCACTCTTCAGGAAAAGGGCGTTGAGGGGTATTAGAGGGAAAATCTTTGAAAAAGTGTGACTAATCACTGTTTACTGTCTCCCTCAGACAGGAAATAGGAAGTGACTACAAGAGTCTCCTAAAAGTCTGTTCACAAACCTGTCCAACATCTACCAGGTGGGAATATTTCCGAGCAGTGGCTCCATTGGTGGTGAAGATGGCAGTTCCATTTCCATATGGGTTGTCATTTACAATCTTGATGGCTTCATCTAATGTGTCTGTTTCCAAAACCACAAGAACTGGACCAAAAATCTCCTCTTTGTAACAGGTCATATTTGGCTGCCAATAAGGATGCCACAAGAGAAGTTAGCTCTTTTGATTCTGAGCATTCTGTACTTATCTGTTACTTTTACTTATTACCCACCACTTACATGGACAGCATTCATGTCAGGATTCTCTTTGAATCTTAAACTACCTGTTGAAAAAGTCCTCTTTCTCTGTGTGTGTGTGTTCTATCTTCCAAGCTCCCAATCATATAAACAACTTGAAATTCCAATTAACTATAACCATGCCCCTTTCCTTCAGGCACTGCTTTTAGGTCTCATGACCCATCACTAGCTCTAACACATGTACAACTGTTTTATACAAGTTGCTACTGAAAATTTACATGAAAATTCAGTTTTATAAATCAAAGATACATTAAGCACAGCAAGAACATTTTTTAAAGAAACTCTGTGCTAAGTTTTCTGTAACATAAACAATCCATTCTCATTCACTCCTGTCTCCCAAATGAGTCTGTACATTTATATTTTGATATTAGATCACAAACAGTCAAAAGATCCTTTACCACCACAGCTAGTTAGCTATGTTTGTTGCTGAGAAGGAGATTTTTTCTCTATGGTTCCATGGCAAGAGATTTCATAATTTCCACTAACATGAAACTCATTATTATTCAGGATTATAGTAGGTTAGTGGGGATATATGAATTGGAGAAAAAGCCTCCCAACATCAGTTTAGTCATTAATTTTAACTTCTCAAGACTTCCAGAGTTTTAATAAATAAATCCTGACATACCAACTATTTTTCTTTAGTCAACTTCTGGTGAAGATACTGGACACAGAGAGGGCATTCAATAAATACTGAGTGGTTGACATACTGACTTAGAAACTGAAAGAGCTATAAGCTAGGAATGAGAGGGGGAGAGAAGAAAGAATTGACATTGAACAAAGCAATAGCCAATATAGTAAAGGGCAAGGATTGGTGAACTATAGCTCGTGAACCTAATGTGGCTTGCTGCCTGTTTTGGTACAACCCACAAACCAAGAATAATTCCACATTTTTAAGTGAATGAAAAAAAATGTTATTTCATGACATACAAAATGTATATGCAATTAGAATTTCAGTGTCCATAAAGTTTAACTGGAACACAGCCACACCACTTTTCTCCCCCCACTCATTTTTATGGCTGCTTTTGCACTACAATGTCAGATTTGAGTAGTTGTGATACAGACTGTGTCCCGGCAAAGCTGAAAATATTTACACACAGTTTTTTCAACCCCTGTATAGTGGAAAGAGCTCTGGTTGGTAGCTGGGAGGGGAGACTCATTCAGATTTCAGATAAACAATCCTGGCAAGAAATAAAGTCTCTAGTCCTTAATGACTTCATCTAAAAATTGGGAGAAAGAGATTACACAGCCTCAAAGGTGCCTTTAGAGGTCATACTTGAAAAGTAAATAATCAAAAGTTGACGAGGAGATGATTATCACTGCTTATTCACCTTCACATTTGAGATGATAGTTGGCCCAACAAAGTTGCCGTTTTCATAGCCTTTGACTTTAATTTTTCGTCCATCAAGAAGGATGGAAGCTCCCTCCCTGGTTCCGCTGTCTATCAGATTACAGACTCGTTCTTTGGCCTGGGGAGTAATCAGAGGGCCAAGATCAGCTCCAGGCTGGTCTCCTGTAAACAACATATTTATAGTCTTTATTAACATAAATTATGACTATTAACAAAAAGATGAACGCAAATGACAAGTACAGTAAGTATAAAGATCAGCAATGTGAAGAATAGACATACTTTTTTTTCACTAGCCAAAGCCAACATTAAAACCAAAGTTTTAGAGTCACAGATGCAAAATCTAAAGGAGCTAAGAAGATGATTGATTACCTGCATTGACTCTCAAGTTTTTGGCTCGCTCCACTAGTTCTGGCAGCCACTTCTTGGCTTCTCCAACAAGGATCGCTGTTGATAGAGCCATGCAGCGCTGACCGGCAGCTCCAAATGCGGCCCCAACCAGCTGGTTCAGGGTATTTTCCTTATTGGCATCTGGCATCACTACTCCATGGTTCTTGGCTCCCTAAGGAAACACAGAAAATACAAGAGTCTTCCTTGGCCCAATACAATTAAGCTAAGAAATTAAGCAAAGAATATCAGATTTCAAATGAGAATTAGAGGAACTAAAACCAAAAACCAAACCCACTGCTGGCAAGTAGATTCTGACGTGACTTTACTCTGTAAGACTGAGTAGAACTGCCCTATAGGATTTCCAAGGCTGTAATCTTTATGGACATAGACTGCCATATCTTTATACTGTAAAGTGGCTGGTAGGTTCAAACCATCAACCTTTTGGTTAGCAGTCAAGCATTTAACCACTATGCCACTAACTCACTGCCATCAAGCCAGATCCGACTCATAGCGACCCCTCCTTGGGTTTCTGAGGTGGTATCACTACGGAAGTAGATTACCCAACCTTCCTTCCAAGGAGTGGCTATTGGGTTTAAACCACCAGACTTCTGGTTAGCAGTCAGATGCCTTAGGCACTACACCACCAGAGCTCTCAGGGATCCTTAATTAAAGGAAGGGACTAGCGAATGCACCTTCTGTTGCTTTGAGGACAGAGAGTTGTTAATCTTTTTTTTTTTTTTTTTTTTAATTTTTATTGTGATTTGGGTGAAAGTTTACGGAGCAAATTCATTTTCCATATAGAAGTTCATATACATTTCATTTCATGACATTGACTGCAATTCCCCAGTGTAACAGCTCCCTTCTCACTTCTGTTCTGTAGTTACCTCTTCCCTGAGTATATTTTAGGTTTAAGTTTTAAAGCAGAAGAGTTGTTAATCATTTTTGATACTGCTGAAGTCTTGACAACCTTGAGCAGGTTTCCAGGTTGCTATTTTTTTCATTTTGCCAGCTGATATGTGTTTATTTAGATCAAAACACTGCTCCCTTCCCCTCCAAAAAAAAAAAAAACCTTAATCACATTCATTCAAAACAACAGGCTAGACACTGCATCTCAGGATCAGAAGAACTTATCTTTCCTGAATTAGACAAGAAAGAACTTGTTGTCTGCTAGAATTCCCAGTTATATGAAGAGCAATATAAACAAAGAGATGCTGATAATAATGCCAGTTGCTGGCTGCAAGACAATATAGAAGATAGGTCTCCTGATAAATAATTTCTAGAAAAAGGTTACCAAATAAGCATGCTTTTAGATAAGGCCTCAGAAACTTCTTTTCTATGTAGTATAGTATATGGTCATTTCCATGTGCACATTTCCATATACAACTGTATAGCTGAGTTCATGGATAGACATCATGTCTTTGTAATTTATCCCCTTACACATAATAAATATATAAGGAATTGGGAGGGGCTGAATTCTAATTGACCAAAGCATATTCAGCCATGAGATGAAAACATAATAAGTTTCCAAGTCTGTGTTTAGGTGGCTATCCTTTCTGCACCATTAGCTGAAGGGTGAAAAAGCTATGCAACTGGCTTTTGGTATCAAAAATTTCTGCCCCAAAACAGCTAGCTATAAATTTGGCAAGGAGCTAGTAAGAGAACAGCAGAACTATGCAACCAAGTCACCCACACTCATATAGGATGTGGGATTATCTGGCTCTTTCCAGTGCCTTAAATAGCCTAGGCCCTTAGAGAAGATTTTATCTCAGTGGTTGGGGTGTAGCTTAAACAAGGAAAGATAAAGGGCTAGAAGCATGGTGTGAGAAAACAGGACCAGTAGGAAGAAAAGGCTTCAGTCACTACTGAAGCCCAAAGAATTTTAAAAAAACATTCTCAGGGAGGAACGTGCCCTCTGTCACCTGTATTAGATATACATGTACAAGTGAATAAGGTGACTTATTAGAATATAACTAGGTTCAAGGTTACAAGATTCAAGGTGAGACATTCAGGATGAAATAAGAAACACTGGCATTAGGGAGGGATGAATGGCCCCTTGGCTAAAAGGTTATTTCTGGGTAATTTTAACACATATAATAGAGATTGGGAAAAAAAAGAAGAAGTCACCATATTGGCTTGAACTCTCTTGCCATGTCTTGACCCTCTCTCGAAGATGTATTCTCCTGCCTGGTTGGATCCCACAAAGCTGATTGCTTTGATGTCCGGATGATCACAAATAAAATTTACAGCTTTAAGAAGAAAATAAATTATCACCACAAAGGAACAGATGACTACGGGCAATGGTGAATTTCCTCCCCCCCCCCCCACTGCCAGCGAGTATAAAATATAAAAGCTCAATTTATTTTTCCTATCCTGGATTCTCATTTGAAGTTCTCTTCTTATTTGTTTCTCAAATTCTTTAAATTACAACTTCTTTTTTAGCCCTTCCTCTTGGTTATTTTTCTCATTTGTTATTCCAGAATTTCTACTTCTAACTCTGTAGGCTGTAATCTTATTTTCCTCCAAGATAACAGCCCTTTAATACTTGACCCTTCCTTTTTGTCCTTTAAGAATGATATTTCCTCAACTATACTTATATACAGGGGCTCTCAGATACTATTGTGCCCTCAACATGAGAGTCACTCTTCTTGGGTACCCACAGGTTGGCAAATTACTTAATTTTACTATGCCTCAATTTTCTCATTTGTAAAATGGAAAAATAATAGTACCTACCTCAAAGCTTGTTGTAAAGATTTAAAAACTCCTCTGCCTTCGTGTTGATTCCAAATCATAGTGACCCTATCGAACAGAGTAGAACTGCCTCACAGGGTTTCCAAGGCTGTAAATCTTTATAGAAGCAGATTGCCTCATCTTTCTCCTGCACAGCGGCTGGTGGATTCAAACTACTGACCTTCTGGTTAGCAATCGAATGCTTTATAAGCACTACACCACCAGAGCCCCTTGTAAAGATTAAATGAGATATTACATGAGAAGAACTAAGAACAGTGTCTAAAACACTATTTATTTGCTATTATTACATGAATTATAAGGCCTTCAGTCTTTCTGAGGTCTACGTATTCTTGGAGTTAAAAATCCTCATGAATTCTCTTAATATTTAAGTGAAAATTTTCTCTTTAATCTTATCTGTGTCTGGCCGTAATCTGTATTTTTAGTCTACCAGTGTATACTGTTAGGCAAGAAGGCCTGTTGTTCTCCAGTTCCCTTAGCACACAGAGATGCCAAAACAGTCAACAAACATTACCTCCGAACACGGAGGTTACTTATTAGTAATTCCTCTTCTACAGGTTCCTCATCCTAAAATACCCCCAATCACCACTCAATACTGGATCTTTGGTAGCCAGATTAACAGCCACATGCGGGCGGGTAGTTACCTTCATGTTGTCCATGGATGATATTCAGTGTTCCATCAGGGGCACCAGAGTCCTGGAGCAACTTAGCAAGAAGCATAGTTGCTCCAGGGACTCGCTCTGATGGTTTCATTAGGAAGGTATTTCCACACACCATGGCCATCGGAAACATCCAAAGGGGGATCATGGCAGGAAAATTGAATGGAGCAATGCCTGCGCACACCCCCAGAGGCAGACGGTAGGAATAAAGGTCCATGTCTTTGGTAATGGAAGGCATAGTCTCTCCCAGCAAGAGGGATGTCACACTACAGGCATGCTCAACCACCTCTGGAACAGAGAAGAAGAAGGCAGACTACTGGTTCTCCACAGTACACACTACTTAGCTTTGTCAGGCTCTACCTAGATGGGGTGGCGAAGGCCAGTGACAGAGGGAAGCAACACTGACTGCTCCCTTCTGTGCACAAAATGAAATTCTCTAACTGGAAAAAAGACAGTGAAATGCATATATTGTACCTACTAGAAGATCACTTGAGTAAAATAAAGAATGGAGTATAAATTAATCTCACAGATACCTGAGTACTGCCATTTTTCATAAATATTAAAGAAGATATGAAAGGATAGCAATATCTCCATAAAAGAAGAAGTAGCCTCTCATTTTGAGATCTTTGCCTCCCATATTCCTTTGCTCCTTCCCAAAGGTCTCTGAACTCCCCCCTTTAGTAACTCCAGCTTACGAAGGCCTCGAAATACATCTCCTTCAGCATCAGCCAGAGTCTTCCCTTGTTCCAAAGTGATTAACTTGGCAATTTCTTTCTAGAGAGAAAACACACAATTAGAAACTGATGCACAGATGGGCCTCCTTTTAGTTCTCAGGTAGCCTAATAAGAAGAAAACTTGGGGAGAAGCCCTACTATCTCAAAAGAAACATGTTTATGGCTTTTAAACAAAAGGGGAGAGAGTAATGGTCAATGTCTCCTATAGTAGAGAGTTTTTGACTATATGGTAGAGTTAGGGAAAGGGCTTCTGCAGGAGTAACAAGTATTGCCCAGGCATCAATATGCAAAATTATACCATCCAAATCTCTTACCAAGTTTTCTTTAATAAGTTGTTGATAGCGGAGCAGGACCTGCTGACGGCTTAATACTGAAGTGTCTGCCCATGGGTGAAAAGCACGTTTGCAGGAAGCAACGGCTGCATCCATTTCAGCCTTGGTGGCCTGAGGGACCCGACCAATTACCTCATTGGTGGCCTGATGAGAACAAGAAGGCCATCATACTTTTATTGTACCCCACTTTGTCCATTTTCCACCCAGTCAGAGGCAGATATACTTCATGACAGATACCCAGGTCCCCACTTTCTCACCATGATCCATAAATTCTAGGGTTAACTTAAGTCCCAAAGCAGTTTTGCTTACTGGGTTGTGGATGTCAATCCATTTGTCACTTTTGGATTCAACAAATTTCCCATCAATGAAGAGCTTTACAGTTGGCTGAAAAACAGAACAGAAAACTTAGTATTCATTAATTGTTTTCTTTATCCCCATCCCCTTCACCAAGAGGAAGGAATTGGATTCATACAGCATCTTCTGCTCTCCAGAAGTGTTACCACTAGGAAAGAGATACAGTGTAATTGTCTATAGTGCATATTAAGATGTGGCAGAACCTCTCAATACTGTGATCTCTCTGAAAATGGGAAATACTGGCTAATCACACAGGGGCATTTAATTACCATCAACAAATAAGAAAGCACACATCTCTGTGAAGCTTATGCTAAAAGAGCAAAAGATTTTGTGTTAATAAAGATCAGCTCTTATGACTTTTTGGCCCAACTGATTTTCTGTCACATTGCCATAAGCATGCATGTATTACCTTTACGATCAAGAGGTTTTTAAAAATGTTTCTATCTACATTTCTCTGAGAAGTCGCTTGCTTTCATTGAATTTTCAATGGGTCTGTGAACTAAAAAAAGTTAAGAATGGTGTTACAGGGTGCGCATGCTTCCATATAGAAAGGTTTGGAGCCTCAGTCTTTATATAATAGATTTTGGGTACTATAAATGGCTTACAGACAGTCTACAGAAACAACTCTAAAGATTGTTTAAAAGCCATAAACATGTTTCTTTTGAGATAGTACTCCTATTTCAGAGGGAAGATTTTCAAAAGCACACACAGGAAAACATGTACTGGATTCCTTGTCAGACGACAACCTTTAGCAGCAAGTAAACTCACCACTGAAGAGGAAGAGAAGCAGGAGGATGGACACCAGGTAGAGTTCACCTTGGAAGAAATCTATGAGGTAAAAGATGGTTATTTTGAGAACAGAAAATTATTAAAAGCTTAGTGAATGACTACTATAGATTTAGTATTTTACTAATTACTGTAGGGGACTTCTGGTAGCGTAGTGCCTAAGGCACTTGACTGCTAACCAGAAGGCTGGCGGTTCAAACCCACCAGCCACTCCTCGGAAGGAAGATGGGCAATCTACTTCCGTAGTGATACTGCCTCGGAAACCCAAGGAGGGGTCACTATGAGTCGGGTCCGACGCGACGGCACATAATAACAACAATTACTGTGGGTATATGAAAGAGGACTTGGTGTTTGCTTTCAGGGACCATACAGTCTTTTTTCTCTTTTTTTAATGTGTTGGTGGCATAGTGCCTAAGGCACTTGACTGCTAACCAAAAGGTTAGTGTTTTAAACCCACCAGCCACTCCTCGGAAGGACGTTTGGGCAAGCTGCTTCCTGCTTCTGTAGAGATACCACTTCAGAAACCAAGGAGGGGTTGCTATGAGTTGAATGCGACGCGACAGCAGTGAGTTTGGTTTTTTTTTTATTGTGCTTTAGGTCAAAGTTTACATAGCAATTAGTTTTCCCAATCAATTCATACACAAATCGTTCCATGGCAATCAACTACAATGTGTCAGCACTCTCCCTATTTTCTCCCTGGGTTCCCGTTTCCACTCATCCGGCTTCCCTGTCCCTCCCTGGCTTCTCTTTGGTTTTAGGTAAATGTGGCTCTTTTGGTCGGACCATAGTCTTAAAGGGAACAATAAACCACAGTGATTGTTGTTAGCTGCCACTGACTTGGCCCCTGACTCACAGCAACCCCATCTGCTACAGAGTAGAACTGCGCCATAGGGTTTTCTTGGCTGGTGCAAACAGTTAAACATCAATTATTAACCGAAAAGTTGGTAGTCTGAACCTACCCATAGGTGCCTCAGAAGATAGGCCTGGCGATTTGCTTCTGAAAGGCCACAGACTTGAATACCCTACAGAGCAGTTCTATTCCGCAAACACAGAGTTGCCAGGACTTGGAACTGACTTGCCAGCAGCTAACAACAACTTTTATGGAAGCAGTTCACCAAGCCTTTTCTCCCTCAGAGCTGCTGGGTGGGTTCTGGGAACCTTTGGGTTAGCAGCCAATAGCAAACCAATTGCTCCATTCCAGCTTCTCAAACCACAGTGATAATGTCCTCAATTTCTAGGACAGTCTTGATCAAAAATTTTTGTCATCAGACTATATTTTCCTATTTTTTATTTTAGAAAATGTAGTCACCATAATTTAACAATACAAAAACACTTAGCATGGTATCTAACACAACAGGTTTTGAATATAAGGTAGCTCTGCTGGTGTAGTGCCTAAGGCATTTGACTGCTAACCAGAAGGCTGGTGGTTCAAACCCACCAGCCATTCCTTGGAAGGAAGACTGAACAATCTACTTCCATAGTCATACCACCTCAGAAACCCAAGGAGGGGTCACTATGAGTCAGATCCGACTTGAGTGGCAGTGAGTTTGGTTTTCTTCGTAGTATAACCAAATGCACTGCCATTGAGTGGCACCTAGTGGAAACCCTCACAGGGTTTCCAAGGTTGTAAATCTTTATGGAAGCAGACTGCCTCATCATTCTCCAGTGGAATGTCTGGTGGGTTTGAACTGCTGATCTTGTGGTTAGCAGCTGAATGCCTCAACCACTGCACCACCAGAGCTCCTCAGATAATATATAAGTAAGTGTCAAATGTAAGGCATAATATGCCCATGCAAATACTTGAACATGAACGTTCATAGCAGCTTTATTTGTAATAGCATAAAACTTGGAAACAATCCAAATGCTTACGATTGAATAGGTGAATGGGGAAACTAATTGCAGTATATCCATACACTGGAATACTACTCATCAATAAACAGAAATGAACTATTGATACATTCAACAACACAGATGAATCTCAGAATTACACTGAGTGAGAAGTCAGACATAAAAGGAGCGCATACTTTTTGATTCCATTTATATAAAACTATAAAATGCCAAGTACTCTATGGGTGGATATGTTCACCATCTTGACTGTGATGTATTCACAGATATATACAAATGTTAAAACTTACTAAATTTTACACTTTAAGTATGTACAGTTTATTTTCTGTCAATGACATGCCAATAAAGCTATTAAAAATGCTACATACACCTTACTGGAAAAAAAATTTATCCTATAAGTTACCTTTGATGGGGTATAGTTGGTAAATGGGAAGGGAGATCAGTAACAATAAGATAGCTCTCAAACTGTAACACTCTAACCAAATAGTTTGTAAATATGTCATTGAAGGGAATTTTAGAAAGATTCAAGTCTCATCAAAGTGAAATACTCAGAAATGAGTTGAACCAGTTACCATGGAGTAGATTCTGACTCATGGCAATGCCATATGTGTCAGGGTACATCTGTACTCTTTTCAATGGCTGTTTTTTTTTTTTTTTTTTTTTTCTTCAGTACACCACCAGGCCTTTTTTCCAAGGCCACTCAGAGTAGACTTGAACTGCCAATCTCTGGTTAGCAACTAAATGCATTACCTGTTTGCATCACCCAGGGACTCTGAAATACTTAGAACTGGGATGTAAAAGAAAGCTGCTTGTCTGAAGGGAGCCTATGTTAACCAAACAGTTTAGTGCTGCTTGAAGTACAAGAATTTGTGTGCCTGCAACACTGTCTAGAGGAAGGGGTGTTGATCTTTTGGACTAGCAGACAATCCTTGCAAATGCCTAGTCTGCTTCCTCCCCAATCCCCTACAAAATCTATTTCAAATGAATCAATCCTCTCCTGGAACCCACCACGTCTTATTTACAGCCATGTTCCTGATACGAACACAATGCATGCATTACATAATGGCGTTCAGTAAGTATCTACTGAATGAAAGTAAGTTTCCCTGGGCCACTATATTGCCTGACTGGCCCCCACCCTGGACCGGGTTAGGGGTCCCTTTCCTGTATTCCCATAGCAGCCTGTCCTTCCCCTATCAGTCTACCTATTATAACTGCCTGCTTACCTGCCTGTTACCCCACAAGGCTGTAAGTTCTATGAAGGCAGGCCTTGCGTGTTGTTCACCTACCTTGCAGAGTTACTGTGATCAAAATTGTCCATGTATGGAAAGCAGCTAGCACATAGTTGGTGCTTATTAAATGCTACTATAACCAGAAGGGTGGCAGTTCAAACCTACCAGCCACTCCTCGGAAGGAAGATTGGGCAATCTACTTCCATAGTGATACTGCCTCAGAAACCCAAGGAGGGGTCGCTATGAGTCAGATTTGACTTGATGGCACTGAGTTTGATTTTTTTGGTTTTATTATTAGTATACTATTACTGTATCATTATGAACACTTACTATTTGTTCTTGCTGTTTCAAAACTTACAGTTCTCTTAAAACTTCCAACTCAGCTACTTCCCATTCACTCTCAGGAGCTGACCTTATTTTTCTCTCTTCAGAGAAAACAGAAACCATCAAATGAGAACTGCCACAACCTCTGACTAGCAAATATACAAAACTGAATGCCCCTGTACCCACCCTTTTCCTTTTCCCTCCTCCTATAATGGAGAAGGTAGCTAGCAAGCTCCATGAGGGCAAAGTGACTAGAACACAGAGGTGTACAATGAGTACTGTGGACTGAACTCAGAGGTGGCTTCCTCTAATCTGAGGCTGATCTTAGATTAGGCTGCACCTGTGCCCTGAAACCTTTCCTTCCAGCTGTCTCACACACTTCCATCAATTACCCTGTTTCCCAAACCTCTGCTCATCCAATAGCTCCTTTATTAGCACATATGCACTAAAAAACCAACCAACCAATCCTTTCTCTTCCCCAAACCCATGCCACCCTCCACTCTCCTTAACAGACAAACTTCTTGAAAGCGCTTGCTACACTAATTATCTTTATTTCCTCTTCTCCCACTCATTCTTCAATCTACTGCAACCTTCATGACTGAACATCAATGACCCTTCCCACTCGTCCTTGGATTTGACCTCTTGGTAGAAGTGACATGGTGAATCATGCCCTCCTTCCTTCTTAAATCCCCTTCTCATTTGTCTTCTGTGATGCCCTGTATCTCTCCCAACTTTGGCCTCTTTTTTTCACCCTTTTTGCTGGTTTATCTTCCTCTACATGGCCATTAACTGTTCGAATTCCTAAAGGCTTCATTCTAGACCTTCTTTTCTCTCATTCTACATACTTTCCCTGGGTGACTTCATCCTCTCTTCTGACTCAATTACCTAGTCCTGATGATGCCCTCATGATGTGGTCCTTAGCTGGAATCTTTCTCATCAGGTAACGCCCATGTAACAAACTGCCTTTACCACATCTCTACATGGATGTTCCCTAGGCACACGTCCAAAAGGCTCAGCTGTTCATCTACCTCCCACCAACCTGTCTACCTTTCAGTAAATGGGGCCACTATTCGCCTAGCTATCAGAACAGAAACCTGAATGATACCTCAACTCTTTCTTCTTTTTCCATAGCAAATCAAACAAATTGTGATAATCTGTTCTCCTGCACATCTTTGGAACACATCTCCCTCTGTCTAGCCCTCCTGTCTTCATCCTGGTCCTCTCATCACTGTCTCTCACCCGGGATTTCCTAACAAGGCTCCCAGGCTCAACTCTTAAACCTTCTGAATCTAGTTTCCATTTTACAGCCGGGGGGGTGGGTGGGGGGTGGTGGTTTGCTAAAACACAGATTTGACAAGAATCACTGCCCTGTTTAAAACCCTGCAATGGCTTCCTACTGCTCCGAACATAGATGAATCTCCTCAATGTTGCTTATAAGACCCGATCTTCACTTCTCCAGTTTTGTGGTTGCACTTTGGTCCTTGCTCTCTATGCTCCGACGGTTCTGAACGTGCTTTGTGCTCTCACTGCTCCTGCACGTGCTGCTCCCTGTGCCTGGAATCATCCCATCCCACTTGTTTGGTTCACTCCTACTCCTTTAGGTTCCCATTTAGCCATCACTTTCTCCAGGAAGTCTCAACCTCAGGTCTGAGCTAAGTACCTAACCATGGAGTTCACAAACACCCTGATTTCCTCTACTGCTCAAACCACACCATGAAATAGCTCATTTAATTATATGTCTTTTTCCCCTTTGACCTCTATACCATTGTACCCTCAGCACTTGGCACGGCTCCTGGAATACAATAAGCACTCATTAATAATTTTTCTAAGTGAAAGAGTGTGCACTTACCAAGCAGCCTTTTGATAATAATTTTGCTTCATTCTTTTATAGGGCAGAAAATACACCAATCAAATGGGGAGAATGCTGATACACTGTGGGGAATGTAACCAATGTCCTGAATACTTTATGTACAAACTATCAAATAGGAAACTAGTTTGCTCTGTAAACTTTCACTTAAAGCACAATTAAAAAAAAAAAAAAGAAAGAAAGAAAGAAAAGAAAATACACAGATCAGCCAAACTGAGCATTCTAAGCCACTTAGTTTTATTTTTTCACTTGCACACAGCTTCCCTGCTGTCAAGAGGATATAAAAAGCACTGTATCTGGTGTAATAGAATATAACCATATACTTTTTGACAGGTTAGATCACCTATCTTTTCTTTATTTCTCAAGAAAGATTTTTCATTAGCACTGCTGCTGAAAGAAACTATCTTATGGCCAGTTGTACCAAACTTCTTGCTCTCTCTAAATGTTTATTTCATACTTGCTAGTTCCTTTATCAGGAACTCCCTTCTCTCCTTGGCTAATGGCCTGCCAGTCTTGCAAGACTCAGCCCCAGAGGCAACCTCTTTTGGAAGCTTTTCCAGAATTGTCCAGGTTGAGTTTGAGGCTCTTTCCCTTTGTTCCTGTGGCACCCTTAGCACGATATAGTTTGACAATGATTGCACAACAATAAGGGAGCCTTCAGTGAATATTTTACTTACCTCCCATTTCCCAAAGCCTGAGACAGTGATACTAGTATATAGTGATATGTAGTATATGTAGCTTGATGTAGTAAGACTTAAGTCCTGAATTTTCAGCTCTGTAAGTAACAAGTTGGGTAACCCTGAGTGATCATAAGTGTCAGGTAATAAATTTACTTGGTTTACTTATTAAGGAGCTCTGGGGGCGTAGTGGATAAGGCATTTGGCAGCTAACCAGAAGGTCAGTGGTTTAAACCCACCAGCGGCTCTGCAGAAGGAAGATGGGGTGATCTACTTCTGTTAAGATTTAAAGCCTCAGAAACCCAATGGGGTTGCTATGAGTCAGAATTGACTAGACGGCAGCGAGGTTGGTTTTGCTTTTGAGTTTGCTTTTTGGTTTATTTATTAATTCTAATCTTTGGTTATTTGGAAAGTGATAGAACTAGAAGAGCATGACTGTACTTTGCAGTATGACTGTGAAACTGTGTTCTTTCCACCGGTATCTGTGGGGCAAGTCACTAAGTCTCTTAAAGATTGGTTTTCTTATCTCTGAGTGGGAGTGATAATATCTCAGGGAGCAGAGGTTCTAGGTAAATTTCACCAGTCACCTTAACAAAGAAGATAAACTTAATACTTAAAATAATTGAAAACATAACCTCTCCTTTATAGATCTTTTAAACAAGCCCTCTGCCATTGAGTTGATTCCTACTCATAGTGACCCTATAGGACACAGTAGAACTGCCTTGTAGGGTTTCCAAGGCTGCAAGTCTTTACAGAAGCTGACTGCTTCATCTTTCTCCTGTGGAGTGGCTGGTGGATTCAAACTGCTGACCTTTTGGTTAGCAGCTGAATGCCTTAACCAATAGCCACTGGAGCTCCCAAGATCCTTGTATAGATCCACTAATATTTGTGGCTGCCAGAATCTAGACTATTTATTTTTTTGATCAAAGTTTCATGATATAGCAACTTCCAGTTGCTAGGATTACTATTTCTGTTCTTTCTAGGTCAGTTCAGAAGTTTCTTCAAATGAATCAGAAAATAGTGTCTGTTTCTGAAATAAAGTACACCGGAAAGGAGAATCCTCCTGATGCAAAATACAAAATATCTATTTGATGAGCTCAGTGATTCACTATGATGGAAAGGGTGCAAAGGAAAAAAGCCAACTTCAGTAAAAGATTCAAGGAAGGGTTGGTGGTGGGAAATATAGGGTGGGAATTTTCTTTCTTCACTACTAGAAAAAAGACACTAGAGAAACAGAATATGACAGCAAGAAACATGAGTGGAGCCAGACCACCAGACAAACCCTTCCCATCCATTTCCCACAATGTCATATTAAAAAGCCTATTTAAATATGAACCTTAGCTGACTATCAAGAATCTTAAAAATGTACAAGTTTCTGCAGTAGAGTTCACTGAAACCTGGTAAATATCTAAAAATCTAGCAATACAGAGGGAGTTCCCAGGCTGGATGTAATGAATTACAAGGGCAAGGTTTCCTTGCAGGTGAGAATATTGCGATTAAGAGAGGATCCACTTTCCAGGTATGGAGTTGAGGGTGTGGTGTGTTGTCACTCTTTGAGCTGACTTTGGGGAGGGTACTTGGAAGTTACATTTCTTGTCTCCCTTGACTCCTATTTTTACCACGCTGCTTAAAGAGATTTTTAGTCCCTTGAATGTAGGTGAGCATCCTGGTAGCCTAACTATGTGCCCTTAGTTACATTCAACGTGACAACTGTCACTTCACTGAGGGAAAGTTTAACTGAAAGCCTTGGCAAGAAAGAGAACATCCCACACACCCTGTGGGAAACACAAAGAGCCATAGTGAGGAGCTGTTGTTGTATGCCATCGAGTCGAACTGACTCGTAGTGACCCCTCCTTGGGTTTCCAAGGCGGTATCACTACGGAAGTAGATTGCCCAACCTTCCTTCCGAGGAGTGGCTGGTGGGTTTGAACCGCCAGCCTTCTAGTTAGCAGTCAAGTGCCTTAGGCACTACGCTAGCAGAAGAGCTTAACAAATGGTTGGCTTTGGTTAAAACTTAGTGTGCACTTCTAGAAGGAGATTCAAAGTTCATTCAGTGACCCTCGCCCCTCACGTGCCCCCTCCCCCCTTACTTCGTTTTAAGGACAGTGAAGTAGGGTGGGGGAGGGAGAAATCTGGACACTGCCAGCACAGGAAAGCGTTCTAAGACATGTGACCAGAAAGGAAGTTTCTTGGGAGAGAAGTACCTGGCGCGGTGGTGAAGGGAAAAGAATGAGTGGACGGACCGCGAGAGGTGAGGGCTAGAGTGAAGGCAACGAGGGGCAGGGCTGGAGGAGAGAGGAACAGAGCCAAAGGGCAGGTTCAGTTGTAAAAGGGCCATGGCCCAGAGGTGATAGCCTAGGGCTGAATCTGGGACGAGGGTGGGTATGGAGTGAAGGGTAGGGAGAACAGGGCCGCACGGGTCGGGAAGCCGGTCCCACCCGAGGGTGGCTTAGAGAGTGGACGGAAAGGATCCAAATTCTAACTTCGCGATCTCTCGACGCCACCCTCACTCGCCTGCAGGATCCGGGCCCGCACTGCCGCCGCCGCCACCACCGCAGCCATGGCTTCTCGCGGCCTCTTCACTACTACCTGTGCTGTCGGCAGAAGCTTAGCTGCTGCCAGGTCTCGCCCCTACATCCTCATTTGCGGAGAGGACCATTTCCTTTAGCCAATTACGCGCCCAAATGCCTGACTCCACCCCGCACTCCCAGTCATGGGGATATGCGATTGGTCAGAAGTGGAAGCGCTCTCGCCCCCTCCCACCTCAGCAAATTCTGTTGGCGAATGTAGGGAAGACATTCCTGACTTAGGTACTCTACATTGAACACAAGGGAAGACGCCCCCTAATCCGGAACCACGATTGGTCAGAGGCATGAAGGGGCCCCACCCCCTAATAAGGAAAGTAAATAATGTCTTCCAAGAATTTTGCAGTCGCTTCACCTCAACCACTGCGCTAGGTGGCGGGACTGGGCAAAGATTGCCCAATGGGGCGGGGAAAAGAGACTAGGCTGCGAATTGGGGATAGGGTTCCCCCTTGGGGGCGTGGCTTATGGATTCTCGCTTTCCCGCCGACGGTTGGCCATGTCACGTGAGATGGGTTGGAAGATGGCGTCTCCCACGGACGGTAAGAGCCGGCTTAGATCCTTCACCTGACACCTCCTTCTTTGCTCCTGAGAACGTCCACTCTTCGTCTGCCCTTCGCGTTTACACTTCTTTCTTGGGTCACTCTCCTTTTCTTTCCACTTCTTTTCCTTGGGATGAGTCCTTTTCTTCACCGTGGCGGTTCTTTACATAAGCTTCAGACGTGCCAGTTTCCCCGTTGTGTACTAGCCGGGTGGAGGAGGGCACCCGCTAGGGACTCGTTTCGGGCAAAAGGACTGGGTCGCCCTGTCCCTTCTTCAGTTCTATTTGGGTGACGCTGAGGGCCGAAGAGGAGCGATGCCGTTTACTGTTGGTTTCTCTTCTTCGGGGCGCCCCCATTGAATGGTCGGTTCTCTTCTCGTAGAACATCCCGAGCGATTCTCTGAAGCCCTAGGTAGGGTTGATAGGTAGCTGACCTTATGCCGGGACCGAGCCGCAAGAGAAATGTGATTCTTTCTCTTTCCTTCAGATTGGGACGGTTGCCCGGGTAGCAAGAGAAACGGGGGACTGATTTTCTTGGCCCTTCGCCAAGAGAATCCTGAGGAAAATGTGAATTGAGCTATTTGATGTGGTCTTGCACACGTCGCATCCTCTCTTGCTTCTGCCGTACGTGTTGTTTCTTCAGGCTAAGTGAATGAACATGATATGCGTAAGATGCAGATCATCTCAGGAAATAATTATGTGGTTTTGGTATACCCACATGCTTTTGCGTTGGTTCTGCCTTAAAAGAGTTAGGGCCTTGCAGTGGTTTTTGTTGTTGTTGTTGTTGACAACATACACAGCAAAACATACACCAGTTCAGCAATTTCTACATGGGCAATTCAGTGAAATTAATTACATTCCTCAAATTGTGCAATCATCCTCACCCTCCTTTCCAGGTTGTCCCTCCCCATTAATATAAATTTACAGTCTTGCAGAGATTTAACTCACTTAATTTTTGCTTCTACCGCTGATTTCATTTTCCCTTGTCCAGAAACACATTGTGTGGTTAGAAGGTATCTTAGAAAATTGAGGCCCCAAGAGATTGGGTATCTACAATATGAAAGCACAAGGCTAGAACCATTGGCAGATGAAAAGATGAATTAAACATGTAAACACTTATTCACTTTCAAGCCTCACTGTAGATGTGCCCTTCCAGAGAGGCTTTCCTTGACCCCAGTACCTGGAGTTGCCCCTCTCCACCATTCTTCATTATCTCAGTATTCTTTATCCTTCACTGTCAGCATACTGGGAGCTCTGGTGGCGTAGTGCCTACGGCGTTTGACTGCTACCCAGAAAGCTGGTGGTTCATACTCACCAGCCACTCCTTGGAAGGAAGGTTGGGCAATCTACTCCCGTAGTGGTACCGCCTCGGAAACCCAAGGAGGGGTCGCTATGAGTCAGATCCAACTCAATGGCAGTGAGTTTGGTTTTGGTTTGGTCAGCATACTTAACTCTGTTAATTTGTTCCTTTCCTGCTGGATTATAAATGGCAGCTCAGTCTTGTGCACAGTTGTATCCCAGGGTTTTTTAGGACAGAGCTTGGCAAGCTGTAAGACTTCAATGAATATTTATTGAAAGAATGATTAGATAGATGTATGCATAAATAATACATTACCTGGTGAAAAGACCGGAATTACTGGTCTGATAGAGACTGGTGAAACCCCCAAAACTATGGTCCCTAGTGACCCTTTGGGCCTGGAATTGAACTCACTTCTGGGCCTTCTAGCCAAACAATTGACAACCATATAAAGTGAACATTTACACCAGGTCGGAATACTCTTAGAACAGTCAGCCATGGGAGACCAGAGTGCAGTATTTGCAGAGGAAGATAGCCCGGAGGGCAGCAATGCACAAGAAAGAAGGACACAGGGACAGGGTAACCAGAGGGAGGGACTGGGAAGAAAACTTACATTATGGGGATTATAGTCAGTGTCATGAAACAAAATGTGTGTGAAGTGTTGCATGTAAAATGAATATGCTCTGTAAACTTTCACCCAAATCACAATTAAAAAAAAAAAAAGTCAGCCAAGTGATAGAAGTAGCAATAATTGCTATTGAAAACTTTTAACTCTTACCTGTTGCTGGTGGGAATGCAAAGTGGTATAGCTATTATCGAAAACTGTGTGGCACTTCCTCAAAAAACGGAAAATAGAACTACCATTGCTGTTATTGATTGTTAGGTGCTGTCCAGTTAGTTCTGACTCATAGTGACCCTGTGTAAAACAGAATGAAACACTACCCAGTCCTGCACCATCCTCACAGTCATTGCTCATTTTTGCAGCTGCTGTGTCAATCCATCTTTTTCAGAGTTAGGTTCTTTATCGCCGACCAAGTATGATGCTTGTGATAGTTAAGTTGTGTGTCAACTTGGCTGGGCCTGGTTTTGAGTGGCTGGGCAGCTGGATATAGTTATTCCCCCTGATGAGACTGGTAATCAGCTCCGTGGTAGAATCTACTGTGCACAGCTGAATTGCCTTCGGGTATGTGGTCTGCTTCCTGTATATAAGAGACATTGAGAAAGGTCTCTGGAGGTTTTTGGCATGCTTGGACCTTGCATATATTCGAGTCTTCATTCAGCAGCCTGCCTTGTTTCCTGCTGATCTTAGGACTATCTCTGGACTTGAACTAGTGGCCTACCATGTTGTTTGGTAATCTTGGGACTGTGCCATTTTATTTGTTGACCTGGGGCTTGTCAGCCTCAGCAGCAAGCAGCTGCCTGAGTTTAGAGAAGCCCCTAGCTTCAGTGGACCAGGAGGAAGAGGCAGAGCTGAAGCCTGAGGTTGAGGGGCCTTCACTAGCACTTTGAACTCGGACTTGCAGCCTCTTAAACTTTAAGAAAATAAACTCCTGTGTGTAAAAGCCATACATTTGTGGTATTTTATGTTAGAGCAGCACTAGAGAACCAAAACAGTGTCCTTCTCCAGGGACTGGTCCTTCCAGATAACATGTCCAAAGTACATGAGATGAAGTCTTGCTGTCCTCGCTTGTAAGAAACATTCTGGCTATATAGCTTCCGAGACAGATTTGTTCATCCTTCTGGAAGTCCATGGTATATTCAATATTCTTCACCAACACCATAATTCAATGCATTGATTCTTCAGTCTTTCTTATTCATTGTCCAGCTTTCACGTGTGTATGATGCCATTAAAAATACTATGGCTTGGGTCAGGCACACCTTAGCCCTCAAGGTGACATCTCTGAGGTCTTTTGCAGCAGATGTGCCCAATACAGTATGTTGTCATTTGGTTTCTTGACTCAAGCTTCCATGGCCATTGATTGTAGATTTAAGAGAAATGAAATCTTTGACAGCTTCAATTTTTTTCTCCATTTATCATGATGTTGGTCATTTTCCAGTTGTGAGGATTTTCGTTTTCTTTGTGTTGAGGTGTAATCCATACTGCAAATATAGTCTTTAACGTTCATCAGTAAGTGCTTCAAGTCCTCTTCATTTTCAGCAAGCAAGGTTGTGTATCTGCATATCACAGGTTGTTAATGAATCTTACTCCAGTCCTGATGCCATATTCTTCATATAGTTCATCTTCTCGGATTATTTGCTCAGCATACAAATTGAATACATACAGTGAAGGGATACAGCTGCCATATGACCCAGCAATTCTATTCCTAGGTATATATCAAAAAGACTTGAAAGCAGAGTCTCAAAAATAGACTTTTTTTTTATTACACCTTTATTCACAATAACCAAAAGGTGGAAGCATCCTAAATGCCTATCAGCAGATGAATGGATAAACAAAATATGGTACATATGTACAATGGAAAGTACTCAGCCAATAGAAAAAAATGAAATCTTGGTATCTGCTACAGTATGGATGGAGCTTGAAGACATTATGATGAGCTAAATAAGCCAGTCACAAAAGGACAAATATTATATGACCTCACTTATATTAAAAAAAAAAAAAGTAAAAGCAAATGTTTGGAGACCAAAGTTTATTAATGGTTAACAGGGCCAGGAGGGAGGGTTAATGGTGACAGAAAAATTACATTGATTAAGGGTAGGGTGACACAGCCAATTATTGTAAATTCTGTCAGTAAGTTGTACACCTGTAAAAAGTTGAATTGACAAAAGTTGTGTGACAGATGTATTTGTAACAGTAAACCAATTAAAAAAAAAAAAAAAAACTCATTGCTGTTGAGTCGTTTCCAACTCAGCAACCCCTCCTTGGGTTTCTGAGGTTGCTACGTCATCTCTATGGAAGTAGATTGC